CAAGAGGGGTCATTGCCACTGAGCTGCACTTGGACCCGGCCCCAGCCCACCCGACAGAGCCTCTGTCTGGCTCGTGGGGCTCCTGTGAGGGGCTTCCTGCGTGTTTAGCCTGACGCGATCTTCCTGGGTTCTGAGATGAGCCTTTCCTCTGGGTTGTCTTGAGAAAGCACTTGCTATAAGATGCTGACAAGCACACAGAGTGTCCATCACCAGCACACATGACAGAGACCACCAGGGTGCTGCGTGCCACTGGCTCACCACCTCCACCATCTCCAAGTGGCCCCTTGGTGGCACTTGAGCTATAGCTTTACTTGGTGACTCACAAGCATCGGAGTCACAAGCTGACAGGCCCCAAGGAATTGGGAGGCCAGGTTTACTGCACACCTTACAATACGGAATGAGGTGTTTCCCTGTTTGCTGTTAGAAGCTGCACCGTCCTGAACGTCCTTGTACACTCTTCCTTTGTCTCCATCAAGGGAAGTCTGGGTCCTGGGGCACTGAGCATCAATGTTTCTGATTTTTAGTTGAGCACATGTGACTGAACTACACCTCTGGGGAGGTTTTTTCCTTGTTTATTATTTGTTTTCTAGACAGGGTCTCGCTATGTTGCCCAGGCTGGACTCAAACTTTTTGGTTCAAGTGATTCTCCTACCTCAGCCTCCCAAAGTACTGGGACTACAGGGGACACACATTTATTTATTTATTTTTTTAGAGATGGGGGGGGTCTCACTATGTTGCTAGGCTGGTTTTGAACTCATGGGCTCAGGCAGTCCTCTTACCTCAGCCTCCCAAAACACTGGGATTATAAAGCATGAATCACTGTGCCTGGCCAAGTTTTTTTTTTTTCTTTAAGTGAAACAAACCAAGGCAGTGCCAAAGCCCCTTTGCAGGCCTCCCAGGCCCCTGTCTCCTTCCCCAAACACAACCACGATCAGGATGTTGCTGTGTCTCCTTCCTGTCCATATTTTTCAACTGTTTCCACATCTGTGTGTCCATCACCTTAGTATTTCCTACTTCTTTAAAACTCTAGATAGTCATGCACAGTGGCGTGTACTTGTAATCCCAGCTACTTGGGAAGCTGAGGCAGGGAGAATCGCTTGAGCTCAGGAGGTCAATGCTGCAGTGAGCCAGGACTGAACCACTGCACTTCAGCCTGGATAACAGAGTGAGATCCTGTCGCTACAACAAATGAAAAATAATTAGCTGGGTAAGGAGGCATGTGCCTGTAGTCCCAGCTACTTGAGAGCCGGGAGGGTGGCTTGAGCCCAGGAATTTGAACTGCAGTGAGCTATGATCACACCAATGCACTCTGGCATGGGCAACACAGTGAGACGACTCCCCTCAATTAAAAAAAAAAAAAAGACAGACCTCATAGCATTTTGTAGATTAGGGCATATGTGACAATCTATTTAGCCAGCCCTTGTGGATGGGCAGGTAGGTGCCTCCAGCTCTTGCCGTCATCAACGGTACTACACACACGTCTTCCTCTCTCACCGTTGCATATATTTCCAAGTTTCCTTATGGTTGAATTATTAGCTGGCTCAAGGGAAAATTCATCTGTGCATTCTAAGTTTTTTTGTTTGTTTGCTTTCTGAGTTGGAGTCTCACTCTGTCGCCCAGATTGGAGTGCAGTGGCCGCTCCCGGCCACCGCAGCCTCGACCTGCTGGGTTCTGGCGATCCTTCTGCCTCAGCCTTCCAAGTAGCTGGAACTACAGGCGTGCGCTATCATGCCTGGCTGATTTTTGATTTATTGTAGAGAAGAGGGCTCGCCAAGTTGCCCAGGCGGGTCTCGAACCCGCGGGCTCAGGCAATCCACTCACCTCAGCCTCCCAAAGCATGGGATTATAGGCTGAGCCACCGAGCCCGGCCATTTTAAGTTTTAGTAAATGCCAAGTTGCCATCCAAAAAGTTTGCAAATTGTGCCGGGCGTGGTGGCTCAACACTTGTTATGCCAGCACTGTGGGAGGCCATGGTGGGAGGATTGCTTGAGACCAGCCTGTGCAACGTAGTGAGACCTCGTCTCTACAAAAAAAATAAAAAAAAAACAAAAACAAAAAGCTTGCACAGTTCCAAGCACTAACAACGGGTCTGAGCAATCTGTGTCTCTCCATCTTTACTATTGTCAGGTAGTATCAAATATTCAGTTTTGCTCATCCACTAGGTTGTTTGGATTTTGTAATTCTCTGAATAAATCTGAATAAGCTTATACAAATGTTCATTGGCTCTTTGTAAACCTTTTGTTTTTATCCATATTGCCAGACTACCCTCCTGAAAGCTGCGCCGACATACCCCTCTTTCTTTGACTTACTTTCCCAGCTTCTTTCTGGCCTCCTAGTTTATCCTCTTGCATTCTGCCTTTCAGAATAATCTTTCTCACAAGAAAATCTGGTGACACTGGGTCACCACTCAAAACACTTCAATGACTTCACACGTACCTCACAGCCTATAAACTCTTTGGTTTAGAAAGCCCTTTATAATCTGGTTTCCATCGCTCCCCGAGTGCCCATTAATTGAGCACCTACTATCTGCAGAGTACTACTATCTACTATTGAGCACCCCATCTGGGTGCTGGGGACCTGGAGGTGAGTATTCAGGGACATGTCTGATTTCTGCAGCTGACATTCTAAAGCAGCGTTTCTTGACATTTTTCTTTCTCTTTTCTTTTTGAGTTGGAGTCTCTCTCTTGTCGCCCAGGCTGGAGTGCAGTGGCACACTCACGGCCACCACAGCCTTGCCCTGTTGGACTCAGGCAATCCTTCCGCCTCAGACTTCCAAGTAACGGAAACTACAGTTGCATGCCATCATTCCTGGCTAATTTTTTTTGATTTATTGTAGAGATGAGGTCTCACCAAGTTGCCCAGGCTGGTCTTGAACCCCTGGGCTCAGGCAACCCTCTTGCCTTGGCCTCCCAAAGTGCTGGGATTATAGGCTGAGTCACTGTGCCCGGCCTCTCAACTTTTTTCAATTATCACCCTCCTAAGGAGGAACACAGCTACTCTAAAATTGAATTTAAATCAGTTAAGTTGATCTCAACTGAGTTATATTCCATTTCTCCCTAAAGATAAAAATTAAATACTTAGAAATAAGAGTTTGATAGGGTTGGCTTTGGAGGGCCACAAATATCTAGTCTGTTCCTCCTTTCAAAACCAGTTTTTACCCGGTGAGTCCTATCGTTCCCATTGAGAATGCATGTTCTTTTTTTTTGAGTTGGAGTCTCACTCCATTGCCCAGGCTGGAGTGCAGTTCCCGCTCACGGCCACTGCAGCCTCGACCTGCTGGGCTCAGATGATTCTTCCACCTCAGCCTGCTAAGTGGCTGGAACTACTGGCGCATGACACCACATCTGGCTTATTTTTTGATTACTGTTGAGACGAAGTTTCACCTAGTTGCCCAGGCTGCGTGAACCCCTGGGCTTAGGCCATCCTCTTGCCTCTGCCTCCCAAAGTGCTGGGATGACAGGCATGAGCCATCACATCCAGCCTGCTTGTTCTTTCTGAGCGTTGGTTTCTTCAGGAGCAAAATGGAAGTCATTTCCTCCTCAGAGCCTGGCATGCCATAAGTGTTCAATAGGTGAGCTTTGTGTTTTACTTTATTTTTTATCTGTCTATTTTTGAGTTGGAGTCTCACTGTCGCCCAGGCTGGAGTGAAGTGGCACACTCACGGCCACCTCAGCCTTGACCTGCTGGGCTTGGGTGATCCTTCCGCCTCAGCCTTCTAAGCAGCTGGAGCTACAGGTGCGCACCACCACACCCAGCTAATTTTTTATTTATTGTAGAGATGAGGTCTTGCTAAGTTGTCCAGGCTGCTTTTGAATCCCTGGGCTCAGGCAATCCTCTCACCTCAGTTTCCCAAAGTGCTGGGATTACAGGCTTGAGCCACTGCACCTAGCCTGTTTTTATTTATTTTTGAGTTGGAGTCTCACTGTCACCCAGGCTGGAACACAGTGGCACAATCACGGCCACCACTGCCTCCACCTGCAGGATTAGGTGATCTTTCCACTTCAGCCTTCCAAGTAGTTGGTACCACAGGTGTGGGCCACCGCATCTGGCTAATATTATTTGATTTATAGTAATGGTCTTGCCAAATTCCCCAGGCTGGTTTCAAACCTCTGTGCTCAATCCTCTTGTCTCCAACTCCCAAAGTGCTGGGATGATAGGCGTGAGCCACCGCGCTCAGTAGAGCTTTGTGTTTATTAGTAGCTTTTTTTTTTTTTTTTTTTAAAGGTTAACAGGCTGGGCGCGGTGGTCATGCTTGTCATCCTAGCACTTTGGGAGACTGAGCACTTTGAGGATGGCTTGAGGTCAGGAGTTAGAGACCAGTCTGGGAAACATAGCGAGACCTCACTTCTACAAAAATAAAAAGAAATAAATAAATTAAAAGGTTAGCCAGGCGTATATTTTATATATATATTAAAAGAACAATAGAATAAGTCCTGAGATGCGCCTCTGCTGCACTCCCTACCGGCTCAGGTACCAGCGCCCTGCGGCACACACGGCCGTCTGCACCTCCACCGTCGTCGGCAGGTGGCGCTGTGGGCAGCGTGAGCTGGCCGCTCTAGGCGGCGCCGCCAGCACGGAAATCTCGTTCTCCCCCCACTTCCGCTCTCTGGCCCCGGCTTGGGCTGCGTGGAGAAGACTTTGCGATGCCTGCCGGAGACTTCGAGTGAGTGGGGGCCGCGGAGGGGACTGGGATGCCGTCTGGGGGTTCTGAGGCTCATCACCGGGTCTGGGTGCGCCGTGGTCGCGCGGCCTGGACCTGGGTGACCCCGTCTCCGACCCCCGCAAACTTTTC